TGCTATTGTTGGCCTATAAATACGGAACTATGAATACGGAAACTATCAAAATGAAAAGTGACTGACTTTTGGACTCAATGCTAAAGTGAATACACATTATCCAAAATTACCTCCTATTTAATTATCCAAAATTCACTCCTATTTAATTGTGATGATAAGTGTAAATAAAAAAAAGCAATAATTATCCAAAGTGATTGAAGTTTTGTTTTAATATATGTATGTACACTGCATTTTTTTCAACATTACCTTTGTTCACTGTGTGTATTATGTCTTTGAAGGTATGAAAATATTTGTCTTCCACACTTCAATCTGCAATTTGGTTTTACTCATATTATTCGGTAGAGGCGAAAGCTACAAATGCTAACACTAAAAATGGTCTGCTGCAATGTCGTTAAAATGTTCCTAAATTCATTTTTTTTAAGGTTATAAAAACTCCCTATGAACTTTACTAACAACTTTTTTTTACTAAATTATACACATTTTATGATAAAATGAAGATTAGATTATTGATTAACAAGTTTTCTCTTTATTTTGTTTAAATAAATTTCAAAAATTGGTCTTCTTTATTTTAGGCAAAATTGGCCTCAATAGCACCAACTATAGGTTGGGTGCATAGAATATAACACAACCTTAATCGAGTGCGCTCTACATCACAAATTATTAAGACATGTGCAGAAAATGTCATAAAGAACATCGGAGGACAGAGAATCTACCGAAAAAGTGTATTTTTATTATTTTTAACCAATTTTCACCTTTATTTATCTGTTTATTTTAATATTCTCTCACGTGTATAATTACTTTACTATACTAAGGACATGCCCCCATTATTATTATTCTCCCATTACCCCCAATTAGTAAAATTAATACTACTCCTTGAAGAATACATAGGTATACGAGGAAAACGACAAAGACCAATCCAAAATCAATCAGCACAAGACATTTGGAAATTATACTTTTGTACATTTTGAAATTCATTTCAATCTCTGTGCTGAATACATGCATTTGTTTATTTAGTTAGTTTTTTTCTCCATAATTTCATGAAAATAGGATATTACTTGGTGTTATAATGATTTGTCGAAATTGATGTCTGGTTGGATGAATTTTATTTGTATAATTTGTGTCTTAGATTTCGATTTATTTTGCCAAACATAATCCATTCATTGCAATTTATCATGAAAGTCATTACAAAATAAGTTAGAGACAAATAATTAGGAAGCACGTGCTAGGTATAATAAAGTATCAAATAAATTAGAGAAGATTAAAAAAGAGTGAAAAATTGGTTAAAAATAATAATAATAATAATTCGGGTGAAGTTTCATTGCCCCTTTGTGGGTCTTAGTGGTTGTCAAGATGGAAGTGGCAACAGTCTTACTAAAAGTTCTCTTATCAAGCATCTTTATGATCGTCATTTTTGTATTGGTGCGCGGGATATCACACGACATTCTATTTCTTCTAATTTGGCCGTTTATACTGAGGCTGAAGTTACTTTTTCGCGTATGGGGATTTGGTTATGTGGGGTTTGCTACAAAACGCATACGCAGCGTGCTAAGTGTCGTCATAGTCCGAGTGAGATTGTGTCACCCCCGGATGCAAGGGATGGTATTGTTCGTTTTGTGCTTCATGATTTCTCCAAGCCGCAATCTGCCTCTTCTTCGGCTCAGCTTGGGCGCATAGGTGGTTTGGTGCATGATCAGCCTTGTGGTTTTGATGTGGCTCTCCTTGACTGTTTGTTCTCCAAGGGGTTTCGGACTGTAAAATCTATACCTCCCAAGTGTCGTCTGGGGTTTTCTCGGGTTCTGAAAGGTGCCCTTGATAAGGTGATTTCTAGGCCTGATGACATTTTTAGTTGGGTTTCTTTGTTGGTGTTACCTTTATGCACCCTTAAAACCTTTCGCCAGCGGAGTAGCTCCGAGTGTAGGTCTTCGGTAAAACATCGGCTTTAAGAGGAGAGTATTTCCCGTGCTATTTGTTCTTGGAGTGCACCAGGTGGTAATTTGCAGCTTGTGAGGGATATTTTGGCAGAGGATTCTCCTTCTTTTTCAGTGGTTGGTGATGAGGGCCTTGATTTGGAGGAGCGTAATATCAAGCAATGTCGTAGGAAGATTTGTGACGGCCATTACACTGCTGCAGTTCGGGTTCTTTCTTCTTCAGGCGTTGCTCCTTATAATGATGATACTCTCGCGGATTTACAGTCTAAACACCCTACTTCTCCAGCTCCATCCTTGCCTGATATACCTGTTGATGGCCTTCATCTCGTTACTACTTCTGATCTTGTTTTGAATCGGATTAAGAGTTTTCCACGTGGCTCATCATGTGGTAGGGACGGTTTACGTGCTCAGCACCTTATAGATTGCTTGAGTGGTGCTGCTGTGACTGTATCGGATGAGTTAGTTGACTCTATTTCTGGGGTGGTTAATCTCTTTCTCGCTGGTAAGTGTCCTATGGAGCTAGGAGGGTATATTGCTAGTGCTCCTCTGACACCACTTGTCAAGCCTGGTGGTGGTATTCGTCCTATAGCTGTGGGTACTGTTTGGCGGCGTCTGGTTTCGAAGGTCGGTGTTGTTATGGTTGGTCTGTCTTTAGGAAGCTACTTTGATGGTCTCCAATTTGGTGTTGGAGTTTCTTCGGGAGGTGAAGCGATTCTTCATGCTGTGAATCGGTTGATTGAGGATCGTGGTTCCAATGTGGGTCTTTCTATGTTATTAGTGGATTTTTAAAATGCCTTCAATCTAGTTGATTGTGCGGTCATGTTACGGGAGGTTCGTCGTCGTTGTCCGGGCCTTTCGCGCTGGGTAGAGTTCTGCTACTCTAATCCAGCTAGATTGTATTATGGGGACCACACCTTATGGTCGTCTCAGGGAGTGCAGCAGGGTGGTCCCCTTGGTCCCTTGCTATTTGCTTTGGTTTTACAACCCCTAGTGTGTAAGATCAGACACACTTTTGATGTCTGTCTTCAGGCCTGGTATTTGGATGACGATACTGTGATTGGTGACACGTTGGTGGTAGGGAAGGTTCTGCAATTGATTATGGAGGACGGGCCTCGTTTTGGGTTACATCTTAACGTGGAAAAAACTGAAGTTTTCTGGCCTACAGAAGACCCTCGAAGCAGGCTTGTGGGTGTCTTTCCGCCTAATATTGCTCGACCCTTGCGTGGTGTTAAGCTGCTTGGTGGTCCTGTTAGTTCCGATTCCGGTTTTGGAGGTGAGCTTGTGATGCAGAGGCTGACAAAGACCATTACACTTATGGATAGGGTTGCTCAGCTAGATGATCCTCAGTGCGAGCTGTTGTTGCTTAGGGCTTGTACCGGAGTTTCTAAGCTATACTTTGCATTGCGTACTTGTCCACCTAGTACCTTTGAGACGGCTCAGCGCACATTCGATGGGGCACTTAGATCCTCATTGGAGCGTATTGTTACTGCTTCAGGGCCTGGGTTTGGCGATTGGCAATGGCGGCTTACCACCTTGCCTTTTGCTTATGGCGGTCTTGGTGTTTATTCCGCAGGTGATGTTCGACATTATGCTTTTCTTGCTTCCCGGTTACAGTCTGCTGGGTTGCAGACACAGCTATTACGACATGCTGGTGTTGTTGGTCTTGGACGAGCCTTTGGAGATGCGTTGAGTTTGGATAATGGAATAGTGGAGTCTGACATTATGAGTAATCCTAGTGAGGTCGCTGCCCCTAAACTCATGAAGAAATTGGCAGATATGTATTTCACAAAGGTTACCGCTTCTGCAGAAGCCGCTTATTCTTTGACTCCTCGGCAATCAGCATTGTTGAAATCGCAACGGGGAGATCACACCTCTGCTTGGCTTCGGGCAGTCCCTATTTTTGGGTTGGGTCAGACGATGAACCCAAAGACCTACCGATGTGTGTTGTGCTATAGGATGGGTGTTACATTGTTCTCTATCTCGACACCATGCTCTGCTTGTTCTCGGGTTTTTCCTGGGGATATTTTCGGTGATCACGCGGTGTCGTGTGCTGGTCTTGTCGGTATTAAACATCGGCATAATATTGTCCGGGATACCCTTGTTGATATCTGCTACATATCTGGGATCTCGGCAAGAAAGGAGGTTGACATAGGGTTGTCTGGAGGGAATGACGGGGCCCTTAGACCTGCTGATGTGTTACTTTATTCTTGGGATCGTGGTCGCGATGTTTGTGTGGACTTAACAGGGTCTTCTCCATTGACACAGACAGGGCTTTCTGACTTTGTTCCTGGACGGGTTGTGGCTGATGCGGCTCATCGGAAGCGGATGAAGTATGAAGCTAGTTGTCGGCTGATGGGGTATGGTTTCATTCCCTTCTCCTTTTCTTCGCTTGGGGAATTGGAGAAGGAGGCTGTCGTGTTGCTGAAGCGGGTTCAGTGGTTCTCGACGACGCAAGACATTGGGGCTCGTGCTGCAGCTTATATCTTCACTAGGGTAGGCTTTTCTATAGCTAGAGGAGTGGGGGCCCAAATTGTATCTCGGCTTCCCACTAATTTGTTGTAGGTTGTATGACTTTATCTGTTTTTGAGATGATAATAATAATAATAATAAAAATAATAAAAATACAGTTTTTCGGTAGATTCTCTGTCATCCGATGTCATTTATAACATTTTCTACATCAAACTTAATAGTTTATGATGTTGAGCGCACCCAATCAAGGTTGTGCTATTCTCTGTACCCAACCTATAGTTGGTGCTATCAAGACCAATTTTGCCTTTATTTTATGATAGTTTCACTTAGGGGCCTTGTGTAATTGATCATCCTTCAAATGCTCAGAACCATCCCTGCTAGATAGAGTAGCACTAGGGGTCATGGATGCAAATTAAACTGCTCATGAACATTTTATAATCGGTTAGATCAAAGATTTGTTATAATTCAACACGTTTTGTGTACGATTGGCCACACCATATGTGGCCACGTTTTAAAGAATAAAGGAACTCCTTTTACAATGATCGAGTTTCCTCTATAATACTAATCGAGTAATCTTTAAAACACTGACTGAGTAAACTTTGTAGCACCGACGAGGTACGTCAGGTATCCCTATAACACCAACGAAATTCCAAGTGGTTTGCCACGTATAAGAATAACTTTTCATATCGACGGGTTTTCATCTGTTTTAAAATGGGTAACTACCCCGTAATCCAAAAGGCGGGAAATTAGTGAGAATACCGTCCAACCAGCAACTGTATTACCTCAGTACTAGTCATCTTCTTCTACTCACTTCCCTCTTCCCACAACCATGAACACTCCCCTAATTCTTCCAAATTATCTCACTTCATCTTCCCCAATTTTCAATTTTCCAAACCCTAAACCTAATCTCTCTCCTAAACTTCCTTCACTTTCCTTTAATTTCCACCTCTTCCGCTCTCTTCTCCTCCATCAAAACCCCTTCCTCAAGGTATTCCTCTTTTTTCTCTCTCATTTTCCTCTTTTTTCTTTCTTAATTTTGTCTTCCTTTTGAGTTTTCAGATGAATCGGGCAATCAATTTGAATAACTCAGTTAACGCGTTGGAAGATGAATTTTGTGGTGATGATTTGGTAGTTGAAGCGTCTCTTACTAGAATTCTTCCACCTGCTTTGACATTGGAGCATGGTGTTGCTGCATTGAAGGATGCGCTTCAGGAATTTAAGCTTATCTCCGAATTCTGCTTGTGGTCAAATTAGATTTCAGGTATTTTTAGTGTTTTGTACTATTCTTTTAATTTCATGGAATCTAGTCTGTTGATGACATTAGTAAAGTATTCTGTTGTACGTACCAATTTAGTTGTCACATATGCTTTCACCACGGTTTATGATGGAACTAAAAAAAAAAAAAAAAGTTGAGAGAAACGAGCAAAATGTCCTTAAAAAAAGAAAAGGTTTGCCGAATATGTAAATGTAAAATGTGGTGTATAGAGTTCATTTGGATAAAGATATAACACTTGGAAGAATTAATGTGTTTTATTTGGGTGTGAAGAGATTATATAGTTTTGCAATGGAGTGCCTCGTTAAACTGCTGTTAAGCTGAAAATGATGCATTTGGGTTCTAGTTGGAAAATTTGAAAGCCAGATTGTTTTCTTGGTTTCTTTGATTAAGGAATATATAAACTGAGTTACAGGTAGCTGTGCCCCCAAGTGCGAATGCTTTGGACTGGTTCTGTTGTCAGCCTGAGGCATCGGTAGTGTTTCCTCAGTTTTACATGTCCAAGCAATCAAAGATTCCAACTCGTGAGTCAGCTTTCTTTAACAAGACTCGTGGGGTTTTTGGAATTGGAGCTGCGGTTTCTTTTAGACAGTCATCTTCTAGATCTGATGAGTGGAACTCATTTAGAAGGTAAAGTTCAAATATCTTTTTGATTTATGTTTCTCGAAATTTTTCAGTATATAGTTAACAATTTATTGATGAAATCATTGTTGAACTAAATGGCTGTGCAAAAAAGATAGTAATAGGAATAAGCTATTGGAGAAAAAAAATTTAATTGCCAGTTAGTGTGGATAGTGCTGGGTATTACCTTATTAATGTGGTGATTTGTGTAAATTGAAGGACAAGATTAATGATGATCTCTTATAAGATTACCTTAATGCTACATGTCCATGATTGTGCCCAGTCTTTGATTTATACAGCTAAGTCCATTATTTTAAAATCCTCTCTGTTAGGAAACCATTTTCATGCGTCCCTTATACAGCCTTTCTACTACATAGTGACAACTGGTAGCCACTAACCAGTTGAATCTTTGAAGTTGATGAAGCTGTTTCTGTGATACTGTAATAATTTAGTGGCAGACAGTGATGTAACATTAGACATCATATATATATATATATATATTTTATTTTTTTTTGGGGGGGTGGGGGGTGATGTAGCGAGCCATTTGTTGTTCCTTTTATTTTTGGCAGAGATTCCAAGGAGGAACATATTTGGCATATGAAGAGATTCACTAGTTTCATGTATGGAGAACAACTTCATGCATTCTGCAATTTAATTTGTGGTTACTTACATACTATGTGGTTTAGAGGATTTTACTGGCTTTTTTTAGTACTCTGCAAATTAGGTCCATGTATAGAATAGGTGAATATTAAAGAATACATTAGGATTTTGAATTGAGTATGCTTGGATTTTTTTTATGTTTTGAAGGAATAAGATATACATCATATTACACATCAAATACAGAAATTAATAACGTCTTTCATTACAACTGCCAGTTCACAATCCTGATAAGCAACTATATTGTGTAGCATGTATTTTAGATCTGATGCATCAGTTTCAAGCTCTAGATGCATAATTTTCCTTTTCCGAGCAATAAGTAGTCCCTCATGGATAGTTAGCAATTTGAAAAAGCAGGACCTTAAATGTTGAATCAATCAAAGCCTTAATCCCATAAGTGAAGTCGGTTATATGAACCACAAGTGATTATTCCGTATAGTCATCTACAAAGATTTTCCTTTTCCATCCTTTTTGATTAAATATTTCATGCTCATGCAAATCCATATGCTTCATATCCATATGCTCATGAGGTGGATTTGCATGAGCATGACCAGTGTAACGAGTTTGAAATGCATGTACTATGTACTATGTAGGTTCATCAAATGTCTTTAGAGCCTTGAATTTCTAACCTCTTCCTTTGAAATGCACTATGTACTATCAAACTAACCCTTGAAATCTTTTGCAGGTCGTAGTAAAGGGGAACAACCAATGGTACCTTGATAGTGGTTGTTCCAAGCACATGACAGGAGATGAATCAAGATTTCTCTCACTGACGGCCTATACTGGAGGAACTGTTACCTTTGGAAATAACAAGAAAGGAAACATCATTGCTATCGGCAAAGTTGGAAGGTCAAGTTCCCAAGCTATTGATAATGTTTTTCTAGTCGAGGGCCTCAAACACAGTTTATTAAGTATATCACAATTCTGTGATAAAGGTAACTCTATAAGCTTTGATTCAGAAAAATGCAGTATCATACAAAATGACACAAGGAAGGTTTTGTTGGAAGGAACTCGGAAAGGAAACACTTACACAGTGGATCTTAATACAGTTCCATGGAACAACTTAACCTGCCTCAGTGTCATTGAGGATGATCCTCTGCTTTAGCATAAACGTTTTGGTCATGCAAGTTTTTCTTTAATTGATAAATTGAGAACAAGGAACTTGGTAGAGGGACTTCCTTCAATCAAGTTCATATGTGATAAAATTTGTGATGCTTGTGTGAAAGGAATACAGGTCCGGTCATCCTTTAAATCCAAGAAGATGGTGAGTTCCACGAAACCTCTAGAGTTGATTCATATGGATTTGTGTGGTCCAATGAAAATTCAAAGTAGAAGTGGAAAGAAATATGTCTTAGTCATGGTTGATGATTATTCTAGATTCACATGGGTTATTTTTCTATCTAGTAAAGATGAGACTTTTGACGAGTTTGTTACATTTTCCAGGAGAATTCAAAAGTCCACAGGTCATCAACTGATACTGTTTAGGGTGAAAATACCCTAAGACACGTGGCCCAATAAAGGCTTGACACGTGTCAATCTTTCAGCGGTCTGCAAAGGCCCAATTCCTTTGCAGACACGTGTCCCTTATACCCTAATTGAGGTACAGTTCTCCCTTACTATAAATAGTAAGGGTAGACCTCATTTATGACATACATTAATTGCAACCACAAAAAAACCAAACAAAGCCCAAACCTACTGAAACGCTCTCGAACCGAGAAGCTTTTATTGTTCCTATTCCACTTCGAAAAGATACTAACTTAATCTTCGGAGGCGGAACTCCCACCCCCCATCCGGAGTCTCCGTTACTTGTGCAGGTACAGGCGTAAGAAGGAAGTCTGCTAGGTGCAGGTACAGGCGTAAGAAGGAAGTCTGCTAGGAAATTGTAACTCTCCCGAAGGACACATAGAAAACCCCCAAACATCTGGCGCCGTCTGTGGGGAGAGTACTTTCTAGATGACATCTGAGCCTATACTACCTGGTAAAGGCAATCTGCCTACTGGGGAGGTTGAGGTCCATTCGGACCAAGATACAGCCGATAACTATGACTTGGAAGCCTACACTGCTGCGGATGGCTCTTTGAGGACTAAGAACACCCGTTCCAAAGATAAGAGAGAACGGGAAGGGAACCAGGCGGCTCCTAGCAAGCCAACTAGGGGGCCGCTTGGGTTAACCTCTACCGCTGGAGACTCCCCAGTCTCCAGAGATGAGCTCATGAATATGATGATGAGCTTCAAAGGAGAGATCAAAGGCCTTCTGGACTACACAGCCGGCCCCCGTAAGGGTCAGGCGGAAGAAAGGCGTCACGGTAAAAAGACAGCCAAAACAGTAAAGGGTAGAGCATCTACCCCACATCCGAAGTCAGACATGCCAGCTAGGCTCTTTGATTTCTCAAAGATGCACACTCCTATAGATGGAGTCAGAAAGCCCGTCCGGCACATTCAGCCGGATGGAACCAAGAAAGTCTATTCTGATGCCCGGACGCTCATCCAAGATAAAAAGACTCAGCGATCCGAGTCGGCATCAACATCGACCTTTCGAGACAGCTTCAATGCCACCTCAGGAAGGCACTCGAGAACAAACAATGACAGCCGGACGAGCGAGGTTTCCGCTCGATCCGGCCCCCATATGATCCAACCGGCAGTGCATGGAACACCGTATACGCCCTTTGGATCCCCCTATGCACAGGCAGGTATTTTCAGGGGGCAGCATCAGTCGCCCGTCCAGCCTATGGACTGGCAGCTCCGGCTGCTCAACCTTGGGGAACAGCCAACGGCGTTCTCCAGAGAAATCACCGAGATGACCCAGCCGTCTAAAATCAAAAACGTGTTGGTAGGCGCCTACGACGGTACCACCAACCCGGAAGATCACCTTATGGCATACACCAACCTGATGTATTTGCAGGGTTTGGATGATGCCGCATGGTGCCGGTGCTTCCCGGCTACGTTGAAAGGGATTGCTCAACGTTGGTTTGGTAACCTCCCAGCCGGATGCATCAATAATTTCAGGACCTTGGCCTACTGGTTTACGTCCAACTTTTCTATGAACATCCCTGCCAAGAAAACAAGCCTTGATCTAGGGGCAATACAACAGGGAGACAAAGAGGGGCTCCGGTCATATGTCAGGCGGTTTAACCTGATGAGGATCCAAATCCATGGATTGTCTGATGACGTTGCCTATACTGATTTCTTCAAAGGCTTAAAAGATGGATCAACTTTTAAGTTTGACTTGGTTAGGAAGAGGGTCTCCACTCTTCACGAGGCACTCATGAAGGCGGAGGCCTACATTCAGGCAGTGGAATTGTGTGCTGTTAAACTTCCAACGGATTACAAAAGATCCGATAAAAAAGAGAATCGGCCTACCCAGTCGGCCAAAAAGGAAGACAAGAGAAAGGGGGTATGGGCGGCAGACTCATCCGGACAACCTTTCCAGAAAAGGAAGAGGTCGGATCCGTATGTGCCAAAGTACGAGTTCAACAAGGACTGTGCCTCCATTCTCAACGAAGTAAAGGACCGGTTGAATCTTGAAAAACCGTCTCCTATGAAGAGTCCTCTAAGCGCCCGGGATAAGAGCAAATATTGTCTTTTTCACGAGGAAATTGGCCACGACACTGAGGGTTGCTTTAGTCTCAAGCGGCTCTTCGACCGGCTCGCTGATGAGGGGGCTCTCAAATCTTATCTTTCCAAGTCAAGGGGTACTCCTAAACAAGCAAGAGGACCACCCCCAAAGAAGACGGCTACTCAATCGGATACGGATGAGGAAACCATCCTGACCATAGCCGGTGGCTTTGCGGGAGGTGGGCCTACCATCCGGGGTACAAAAGACAACATTCGGAAACTGGTCAACTCGGTGGATGAGGGCCAGTCGTCTGAATATTCATTTCCGGAAGTTAACATCTCCGAGAGAGATAGGGGCGAGGTCAGACGGCCTCATGATGACCCCATAGTCATCGAGTGCAAAATCGCCAATCAAAGAGTTGGCCGGATCTTGATTGATACCGGGAGCTCATCCGACCTCATCAGCTACCGGTGCTTGGGGAAACTCAAGTATAAGCCCAGTAGCATGCTTCCGGCCTCATACCCTCTTGTAGGTTTTGGGGGAGGAGTAGTACATCCGGTGGGCATGATTGATCTACCCATCCGGTTCGGAGAGAAGGGTAAGGGCCGGCATATGGTTGTCAAGTTTCTTGTTGTAGAAGAGCTGACTGCCTACAATCTGATTATTGGCCGTCCAACCCTTAACCTCTCAAAGGCAGTCATCATCCCATCTCTAATGTTGATAAAGTTTGAAAGGGATGATGGCACAGTCGGTTCCTTGAGTGGGGACCAAAAGATGGCGAGAGAGTGTTACCTCTCGGACATCAAACCAAC